CACTTCTTAAATTAGGCTAGAAAATGGAAGGGCTACTTAACCAACAGCACTTTTCTTGGTTGCTCCAAATGAGCTCATTGAAACAAAAAACAACACAGAGTAAAAGTACACATAACACAATTCGGAGTCTCCTTACATCAAGAAGACCAAACACACAGACTGGAGGACCATTTTGCTGAACACTTCAGCGCAGCTCACAAGAATGTCCTTGAGCTTTCAGTGACGTTTTATTTTAATTCCCCATGATGCCCTCTGGCTGACAACGACTTGGCCTGCTGCACTGTTCCAAGGAAGCTCAACATAACAAACAGTGCCTTATCTTCTAATTAGGCATTTTAAAGCCTTCTGGACTCAAATATTTCACTCCATTTTGCAGTATCCTCTGTTTTGTTTCCTTTTCGTTGTGTTTTTATTTTTTGCTTTAGGCAGCAGCACACTTGTTCTGGACACATTTTTGTTTCTTTTATTTTCTTGCCCCATCTCAATTTCCTTTGGTCTCCAGAGACTGACTGTTCTGTCATCAAGCTCCCCTGTCTTCCATTGTATCACAGATCTTTCACTTCTCCAAAAAGAGGGCAGGGTGGAGTATGAAAGTGACAAGCCACTGAAAGTTCAGTGAGATGCTTGTGAGCTGGGCTGAAATGTTCGGCAAAATGGTCATCCAGTCTGTGTTTGGTTTTCCCAAGGTACAGGAGACTCCATTTTGAAGACTGAATACAGTGGACTAGATTGAAAGAAGTACGTATAACTCAATCCTTCACCTGGAAGGGGTGTTAAGGGCCTTGAACAGTGAGGAAGGAGGAGATAAAAGGCTAGGTGTTATATCTGCTGCATTTGTCTGGAAAGGAGACATGGGATTGGAATGAGCTGTTGGAAGTGTCTACAGACATCCTTTACCCCACTGTTTGAAAAAGGCAGCAGTGTAAACACTGTTTACAATGACTTTCAGGAACTTGATTTTTAAAAGTGCAGCAATTCTTTCCACAGCTCTTTGCTGTGAAACAGTCCTTTCCCCAATTCAATCCACAAACAAATATAAACTAAAATAAAAGATACTGTCTTTACGACTTGTGCAACAGACATTGGTAGAGGAAGCCCTGATGGACAAAAAAGCAGCAACTGAAGGAGTTCAGATAACAGCAGGCTACTCTGACATCAGGCAGATTAGAAGATGAGCTTCAGAGAAGCATCTTTCTGGTCAAGAAGAGGCCAGAGGAGCAAAGTGAGAAAATGTACGAGGAAAATGATTCCTTTTGATGGCAAATACATCACCACTTTGTCAGCTATTTGCAAATGACCATTCCAGTTCTTTTGAATACTGCAGAATTCCAGGATGATGGTTGTGGAAATCTGTGTTCTGATGCAGGATGACTTAATGCCTTACAGATTCCATAGAAGTCCTCTTACTTGAGCCTTCAAGGTCATTATTACCCTGAAGTTTTATGCAACCAGATTATTCCAGGCTTCAAATGTGGACCTGAGTGGCATCTTGCAGTTGGTAGCTCATCACACCATTAGACAAGATATAGACGGCCTATTTTGGAGGGTGAGGTTAATAGTAATGGTCATGGGTTTAGAAAGTTCTATCTAAGGGGCCTTGGTGAATTTCTGCAGTGCATTTTGTAGATGGTGCACATTATTGCTATTAAAATATTGATTGAGGGAATGAATATCTGTGGATGTGGTGCCAATCGACAGGCTGCTTTATTCTAGATTATGTGCTGCTTCTTGAGCGTTGTTGGAGCTGCACTCATCAAGGCAATTGGAAAGTATTCCATCATGACTATCTGCTATAAGGCAGGTGATGGAAGTTCTGGATTATTTAACTACTGCCAAAATTTGACACCTAATATTTCAGCAATAGCAGAACTACAATTCACATGAGGTTACAAACCACTGGCAACTGGCTTCGGAACAGAGGATGAGCAATGAGGCTCCCAGAGGACATAGTGACTGGGGTGGCGGGGGGACAGAAGTAGGCCCTCTGTCAGACCAGGTTGGATGGTATGTAATGTAACTGTATAAGTGTTACGGACCAGACCAAACACCCCTAAAGTATAAGCTTAGATGCCAGATTTTAGAATATTTTCTGAAAAGGCAAGTGTAAGGCACAGTGTTCCAGATTTGATTTGATCAGTCCACCACTAAGCTTTAATCAAAACACATTTTAATCTTACAACACATTTAAAATACAACAAAAAGAAAATTGGCATAACTTTAGTCAATTGGAATACTTAATTAGATAAGGTATTATTGATCCCTTATTCATCAGTTGGTCTAAAAAGGCAGCATCCCAAAAACACACCCATGGCAAAGGCAATCCATCAACGCAGTTATTATTCTCACATGCTGTCTCTCTCCAGTCTACTAGAAAGAAACACTGAAAGAAACAAGTCAACACAGTGTGGAGCTGGAGGAACATGGCAGGTATGCAGCATCAGAGGAACAGGAAAGTCGACGCTTCGGGTCGGGACCCTTCTTCAGAACTGAGGAGGTGGAAGGCTGCTGGAAAATAAATAGAGGGAGGAGGGGTGAGGCTGAGGGAAGGTAGGTGGGATGGTGATAGGTTGATGAAGGTAGGGGGTGGTGGGGATTGGTCAGTGGGAAGGGAGGGGCAGATAGGTGGGAGAGAAGATGGACAGGTTGTGTCGGGTCAAGGATGCGAGGTGGAGGATGGGTGGGACTGGGGAAAGGTAGGTGGGGTGGTGATAGGTGGATGCAGGTAGGGGTTATTGGGGATTGGTCAGTGGGAAGGGTGGGGCAGATAGGTGGGAATGAAGATGGATGGGTTGTGTCAGGTCAAGGAGATGAGAGGGAAGAGAGGTGGGGCTAGGGGAGGGGAGGTAGGATGGAGATAAGTGGATGCAGGTGGGGTGTAGTAGGGATTGGTCAGTGGGAAGGGTGAGGACAGGTTGTGTCAGGTCAAGGAGACTGGGATGAGAGGATGTTTGGAAATAGGATGAGACCAGGGGTGGGGAGATTTTAAAACTGGTGAATTCTATGTTCATGCCATCGGGCTGTCGGCTCCCCAGGCAGAAGATGAGGTGTTGCTCCTCCAGTTTGCGTGTGGCATCATTGTGGCTCTGGGAGGAGGCTCAGGATGGACATGTCATCCAGGGAGTGGGAGGGAGAGTTAAAATGGTTAGCGGCCGGAAGGTGTTGTTGATTATCGCGTACAGAGCACAGATACTCCACAAAATGGTCCCCGCATCAGATACATTTTATGTTTTATTTTTATACCTCTAGGTAACCTGTTCTGACATGATATGACAATTCTCCACTGCAAAAGGGATTTGAATCTGGGCTTCAAAACCCAGAAATATGGACATGTGCTACAAGAGCCCATGAATCCTGCTTTTTTTTAAATGACCTTTCACCGAATTAACTAATTGAAACAACAAGTAACAAGCAAAGCTCATCAAATGCTAAAATCTCAACTCTTTTTCATCAATGAGTCCAGCCACATTATTACATACATCCGGGGTAGTTGCGACTTGAACCCTAGTCTTCTGGGTCAGAATTAGGGACAGTACCACTGCTCCAGAAGTGCCCAGCTCTTGATATTGTGAATCAACCTCTTTAGAAATGTTATGACACAATCTGGAGCAGATGGAATTGAATCTGGGCCTCCTGGCTCAGAGATAGGGACATTACCACTGTGCCCCACCACCTCTTTATTATAAACCTGAATCAAATCATCCATTTATTCTGGCTTATCTTTTCTGAAGTAAAACAACACTAAATCACCCATGACATTAGTTAAAATAACAAGTTACAAGCATTATTAGTAATCTCATGGTTAAAAATCCCTGGAAAAAAAAGTTTTGTAATGTAATTGAATTCCACCTTAAATTATCTTCATTCTTGTCTTGCCAATATTTAACTGAAATGTTGAGTAAATTTGAGGGGCTATATAGTTTATTGCTCCACCTAGGCTTTACATTTTTGCACTCATTAATTAACACACACCTTGTGGATAAAAGGCTACTTTTCTGCTGATTTGCAATCAAATTTGTCCTTAGAAACATCATATAATTGTGATGATATCTGTTTCCTTATAATTCTTGTTTCATAATTTCATGGATGCATTTCACACTTTAAATTGTGTGAGGAATTGCCATTTTGTCTTTGCCAATAACAATAAGGACAGCACAATGGTCAGGACCACTGCCTCATCACTCCAGGGAGCTGGTTTCAATTTCACCCTTGGGTGACTGTCCATGTGGAGTTTGCACATTGTCCCTCTGCCTGTGTGAGTTTCCTCTGGATGCTCCAGTTTCCATCCACAGTTCAAAGATGTGCAGGTTAGGTGGATTAGCTATGGGAAATGCAGGGTTATAGGGTAGGGGGGGCGGGATGCTCTTCAGAGGGTTGGTGTGGACTTGATTGGATGAATAGCCTGCTTCCACACTGTAGGGATTCTATGATTAAACATAATTGCATAATTGTTCAATCATTTGAGTGAACTTTCACCAACAGCAGTTTCTTGTACTGTAGACTGAGTTGTGGCTCAATTTGAAGCACTCTTGTCTGTGAATGAAAACTTGCATTTTCTAGTCTGACACTAGGAGCTACTGACAAATGGCCAGTGTAATACTGAGGGAATGTTGCACTTTCAGATACTTTGTCTTTTGGATGACAACCGCCATCTGTGGATCCTGGGACATGATTTAAAAGAAGGGCAGATGAGGCCAATATTTATTCCTCACAACATCACAAGAACAGATTATCTAATTATGTGGAATTTGCTGTGTGTAGGTTGGCAACTATCTTTCCTTCATGAAACGCTGACTACACTTTAAAAATACTTCAATTGCTATAACACCTGTTGAGATATCCTGTGGTCATGAAAGATGTGCCATATAAATGTAAATAGTTTTGGTGCCAAGATATAAACCTCCTTTGAAGGATGTAACTGAATGTTGTCACCTGCTGAAAATAGAGAATAAAATGCCAAAGAATCCATATCATTCACCAAATGAAATGCAAAATCAACTGGCTGAAAAAGATGACATTAACTTTATTAGGAAAGGGTTTTGAATGAATTGTGCTGTGTTCTATGCTGGTAACAAAATCATTAAGAGTTTCATGGGAGGTCGCTTCTTCCTCACAAACAGAGAACTGTCGCAGCTACGAAGCTCTCTGCTTCTAGTCTAGTCCTGTCGAACAGATTTTGAGTTCTTTGCAATCAGCATGTATATTTCAGATGTCTGATCAGTTGGCTACAGACGGAGAGCAACAACACACTACTCATTAAATTGTTGAATGATTTATGCTTGCTGATCTTGGAAGCGGGACCGAGCCTTAAGACAATAGGAGTGATTGATTTTGTATTGGAGAGGTGCAAGATGTTTCTTTCAGAAAGGAGAGGGTAATGGGTTGCTGAGGAATGTTGGTCATTTATTGGACATTCTCCATCATCTTCACCCATTCTGTAACAGAAAGAAGATATTTGATTTAAAAGAAACATATTTTAAATACTCAACAGTAAACCTTATAACATCACCAATGAATTTTATTCATTTTATTATTTGTACATACCATCAAAGTCAAGTTTGCCATCATTGTTCTTGTCCCCCTCCCTTATAAGTTCATCAATTTCTTCCTCTGAAACATGCTCCCCAGCACCCTTGAGGACCTCAATCAGCTCATCACGATCGATGAAACCGTCAGCATTGCTAGAGTATCAAGAAAAGTATGAATGTCTCCAATCCAGCAATGTTATCTACCTTACCAAAATAGAAGTTGCTACATGAGAAAAGATCACATCCATCTTATTTCACTTTGTTTCTGCCTGGTTTCATTACACAATCTAACCTTAGTAATCCATTTTAGTCACTGGTGTGCAACAGACCTAAATATGATGCATGAACATCTCAGGAAAGAGCTTCAGACACCCTAAGTCCAAAGTAACCTGTTCCATCCATCCCATCCAACCTGTTCTATCTAAGCTTCCCACACAATGTCTCAAATTACCCAAGACCTGAATTGAATATTGTGTCCTCTAGTCTGAAAGCAATTAAAAATAATCTGTTATTGTGACCTCCTATTCCATTCAGTCTTATTTAGCTTCCCTTTAATTGCAATCATAATCTTTAAGCATACTCTCTGTTGTTCCACATTTTTGATCATGAAAGCTTTTCTGAATAGCTTCTATTTATAGTCTCTAGTTATGTTCTCCATAACTTTCTACGTGGTTTGGACGTTGATAACAAGGACTGCATTGTTGTCCATGCCTAATTGCTCTTGAACGGAGTTGCTTGTTCAGCCATCTCAGAGTGCAGTTAAGAATCAAACGCATTTCCATTGGTGTGGCATCACATTTAGGCCAGCTAAGTGAGGATGCTATGCTTCTTCCTTAAAGGACCCTAGTGAACAAGATCAGTTTTCACAACTGACTTTCATCACTGGCATTAGTTTTATGATCCAGATTTATTAATTGAGTTATCTATTTCACTAGCTGACAGGATGAGTTTTGAATGTTTGTCCTTGGAGCATTGGCCTGAGTCACTGGCGAGCTAGTCCAGTGACATTTACATTACGCCATCGTCTCCCCCAACTGTAAACATATTGTCTGCCTACTCTATCAGGATGTGACAGGACTGCACAGCTTAGACCTGATCCATTGGTTGTGGGATGGCTCAGCACTGTGAATCACTTGCTGCTTATGCTGTTTGACATGCACATCGTCCTGTCTGGTAGCTTCACCAGTCTGAGACCCCATTCTGGGACTGGCTCGTTGGTTTAGGGGTAGGATTCTCGCTTAGGGTATTGTACAGTGTTGGCATGCGAGAGGTCCCGGGTTCGACTCCCGGATGAGCCCAGGGCTTTTAATCAGGGCAGCACGGTGGCTCAGTGGTTAGCACTGCTACCTCATAGCGCCAGGAACCCAGGTTCAATTCCACCCTTGGGCAACTGTGTGGAGTTTGCACATTCTCCCTGTGTCTGCGTGGGTTTCCTCCAGGTGCTCTGATTTCCTCCCACAGTCCAAAGATGTGCAGGTTAGGTGGAATGGCCATGCTAAATTGCCCATAGTGTCCAGGGATGTGTAAATTAGGTGGGTTATAGGGTGATGGGTCTGGGTGGGATACTTTGAGGATCAGTGTGGACTTGTTGGGCTGAAGGGCCTGTTTCCACACTGTAGAGATTTTATGATCTATCAAACAATTTCTTATTTTTCCATATGTCTATGGATCACCGCTTAGTCTTTTTTATTGAAAAGAATATCAATGCAATTGTTTCTCCTTTCCTGCTGTGCATACCCACGAATTTCTGCTGCCTTCCTTGTAAATCCTCGAAGCACCATCTTTAGTGCCTCTATATCCTTTTCATAAAATGATGAAAGGTACTGCATGTGGCATGCAATGTAGATGAACCAAGGTTCAATACATATTTGGCAGTGGCTCGTTCTGCTTGAAATGTTTCTAGAGCCAAATATTTCAATATTTCTACCTCACTTTGCTTCTGGAGAAGTTATATTGGACTCGAAATGCAAACTCTGTTTTATTCTCTCCATAAATGGTATTAAACCTATTGAGGTTTTTGTCTATTATTTCAGTTTACCAGCTTCTACAGTATTTTGTTTGTATAATAGATGCGCTTCATTGCTAAAATGGTTTAGTTACATTAGTTTAAGAGTAAAGTCACCACAGTCTCACCAGTTCATAGAGCTGCTTTCTCATTAGAGAGAGATGACTGGTGGTGAGTTTAACCTGTGAGTCACCGTGCCTCAGTTGAGCATGCAGAAGGAGAGTCCTTCATGGTAACCTGAGCTGGTGTAGGAATTAAACCCACACTGTCAGTGTCACTCCGCACTGCAAACCAGCTGTCCAGACAACTGAGCTAGCCAGTCCCCACCCTACATTTAGCTTCAAGTAGGTATGGTTTTCTGTTTGTTGTCCTGATCTTTGACCAAGATCTTTCATTTTACAATATGTACAATGTTGAAACTACTGCCGCAAAATGGAATTTCTGCACAGTCACATTTGTACCAATGTAGTAGAAGGTCAAACTCACAAATCAAATACACGAAAGACTTCTGCCAACTCTTCTTCAGATTTTCCTTTTGCCTCCTCTTTCATCTGCCTCACCATCATCACCAAGAACTCTTCAAAGTCAATGGTGCCGCTTCCTAAGTTAAAAGCACACTGAAATATAACCTCTGTCTATTGTTAACCATGAACATTTGAGAATGAAATGATGTTTGAAAAAAGTGAAATTGCTAAGTGTGATCGAGATATGTTTTCTTACCATCTTCATCCACTTCCTCAATGATGGCATCCAACTCTTCCCTGGTTGGGTTCTGACCCAGGATTCTCATTACTTGACCCAATTCCCTGGTGCTGATGTCACCACCACCATCAGCATCAAACATGTCAAACGCGGCCTTGAACTCTATGAAAAGAAATTTAAGTAATTGCTATCATGTTATCATTTAGTTTATTTTGTTTCAGAGGATTGTTGGCATCTGGTCAGTCAATATGTGCACATCTTTGCATACGCATTCACAAGTAGATTACGTGAGGACAGTGCTGGTTTGGAGTTACAGTTTACTGTTTTTAAGCACAGATATACCCATTTAGTTCAACATCTCAATCCAAATGTGAGTGTTTTTGACAACAGTTGCAGTCTAGATTTGACTACCATTAGGGAAACCCAAGACATCAATCATGACTGCATTGGGTAAACAATTGTGTACTAATTAGTGAAGATGTGTTTTAATATCAGTGGAAGGACTACTTTACCTACAGCACTTTTCTTGGCTGCTCCAGAAGGGCTAGTTGAAGAAATAACATCAGAGATTAAATCTACGTACAACACTCATACACAATATTCTGGATAACACTACCTTTAGGGAGATCCTGCCTCGGGTGCTCAAAAATCTATTGGTTGCGAATGACCTGATTAGCCTAGGGCAGAAGCTTCCAACTTTGCATAAGTGTCGTTCTCAAACTGAGGTACGACCAGCAACGATGCACTGGCCCAGATCTTCATTCCCCAGTTAATATGAGATAGGTTGGCCTCTAGAGACAGGTTCTGCCTGGTTGTGTGGGACTGTAAACAACCAGTGTCATTCTGTGTATGTACTATTGCTTAGTCATGTTATAAAGGTGTACCACATCAAGTGGAACTGTATCTAAGTTGTTGTGAAGTCATTGATATTCGGGCTAGTACCTTTAGATCAAAGAATTGATTTTACAGGGTATAGTGAAGTTCATATTGTAATGTAGCAACCAATTATGGCACAGCAAAATCCAGCAATGAGACAATGTTCACATATCCACATTTAGAGACAGTGATAGAGGGTAAATATTGACCAGGACATTGGAAAGTATAACCCTGCACTTTTGTGAATAGTGTCAAAGTAAGTTTTTGCCAATATTTCATTTGACAGACAATCATTTCCTCAGTACTGAACTGGAGTATTAACTTGGGTGATGAGCTCAAGGTCCGAGAGTAAAACTTATGATTCAGAGGTGAAAGTCCTGTCACTGATCCACTGCTCATAACCATAAACAATAAAGGTATCAGGCTTGTGCATTAATTTCAACAAGTCTAATGTCTGATATAAAAACAGAAAATGCTGGTTTAAAAAAGAACCTCCGCAGGATAGGAGGCAGCATCAATGTAGAGAAAGAACTGAGATAACATTTCAGGCCTGTGACATTTCATTGGAACTGAGAGGCTAGAGATAAGGACAAAAGAAAGATCTGTGATACAATGGAAGATCAGAGATTGATGACAGAACAGTCAGTCTTACAGGGCCAAAGGAAATTGAGATGGGACATGAAAATAAACAAAGAAACAAAAATGTGCCTGGAGCAAGTGTGCTGCCGGATAAAACAAAAATTATAAAAACGAAAGAAAAGGAAACAAAACAGAGGGCAATGTGAAATGGAGTATAATGTTTGAGTCCAGAAGGATATAAAATGCCTAATTGGAAGATAAGACACTGTTTGTTATGTTGAGCTTCTTTGGAACTGTGCAGCAGGCCAAGTCGATGTCAGGCTAACAGCATAAAAATGACAAGCCACTGAAGGCTCAGTGAGACGTTTGTGAGCTGCACCGAAGTGTTCAGCAAAATGGTCATCCAGTCTGTGTTTGGTCTTCCCAATGTACAGGAGACTTTACTTTGAACAGTGAATACAGTGGAAAAGATTGAACAAAGTACACATAAATCAATCCTTCACCTGGAAAGGGTGATTAGGGCCTTGAACAGTGAGGAGGGAGGAGATAGGCTAGGGGTTACACCTGCTGCATTTGTCTGGAAAGGAGTCCTGGGAATGGAATGAGCTGTTGGGCATAATTGAGGTTGGATTATCATGAATAAAATCCCTTCAAAATGCTGAAAAAGGAAGTGAAGATGCATTTTGTGGTGGCATCTTGCTGAAGGTAGCAGAAATTCTGGAGGATGATCCTTTGTATTTCGAAGTCGATGGGGTAGAATGTGAGGACCAGGGGAAATCCTACCGTAGTTCTGAGAGGGAAGGAAAGGACCCAGAGCAGAACTGCTGGAAGTGTAGCAGAAGCAGTGGGGCTACCCTCAGTTGAGGAAAAAGCAGAGGACATCTCAGAAGTACTGTGGGAGACTACATCATCAACAGTGAACTGGAAAAATGGAACAGTGTCCTTACAGGATGCGAGCAAGTATGGTACATGTACTGTGGATGTCAAACGTTGTTTAATTGATCTTAATACAACTCAAAGAATTGTGGATGCTGAAAATCTGAAACTAAACCATAAAATGTTGGACAAACCCAGCAGGACTGGCAGCATCTGTAGAAAGAAAACAACAGGGTTAACATTTCCAGTGCAGTGACGCTTTGGATTCCTGGGCTGGACTCATAACATTTGTTCTGTTTTTCTCTCTTCAGATACTGCCAGATGTGCTGAATTTCTTCCAGCGCTTTCTGATTTTGTTTTAACGAATCTGAGTTGATAACCTACTCTGAAACTGAAATCAGGGACTATATAACAATCAGCTCCTTCCCTGAAAATGTATAATATTTATTTTGAGCCTCCCCTGAGTCATACACAACTCCATCAACTGGAATAACCTTCCTGCACTCACCAGCGATCATTTCCTCGCTGAGGTAAGACCTCGCGTCTGCTTGTTGCTCTGTCATCGGCTGCAAGAGAAAAGGACTGGTTTAGTAAGTGGTCTACAGAGGTGACCAGGCAAATATAATTCAGGCTTTTCCTGCTGGGCAAATATAAAGACTGCATATACAGGGAGCTTCCCAGCAGGATGAAAGAACATAAACACACTTACAGAAAGCACACCCACGCTCAGCCATTTCAACCTTTACCTGCAGTCTGAAGTCACACCGCTGTTTAGAGGGGCCAGGTCAAAAATCACACAACACCAGGTTATAGTCCAACAGGTTTATTTGAAAACTCAAGCTTTTGAAGCTCAGCTCCTTCCATACACTATGCCTGAGGAAGGAGCTGAGCTTCAAAAGCTTGTGTTTTCAAATAAACTTGTTGGAATATAACCTGGTGTTGTGTGATTTTTGACTTTGTCCATCCCGGTCCAACACCGGCACCTCCACGTCATAGAAGGGCCAGTGCATCAGAGAAACAGACATTCTCCAGCTGTGGATAAGCTAATTTGAACATCAATGCTGTCTTTAGGCCTCTTGTGGCACAGTGATAATGTTCTTCTGTCTGAGCCAGGAGAACTGGCTTCAAGTCCCACCTACTTCAGATGTGTGTCTTAACAGAATTGAACAGGTTAACTAGAAAATATCAATGCTGTCTATAAAAGGCACACACTTTAGAGGCTGCACTGATAATACTCTGTGTTGGCTTTGTGTCATGGCTGGTAGAAAAGTTGCCAATGTTGACCAAGTCGGACATCACAACTGTGGGTGAGGTGACCTCCAGTACCTCCAGCCTATTGTCGAATAATCAGTGCATTCTCTGTGTGCCTTCACCCTCAATGTCTCACAGACAGTGCGGCATGCAGCCTCAAACCAGTAATCAGATGAAGTTCAAATTCTGAACTGCACCCGTGGTATGCAATGGCGCCTTGGGTTTCAAAAGATAGTAATGAGGCCTGTTGTGGAGTCACGTTTGTTGGGTTTTTTTACATGCATATTTCAGATATCCAGCAAAACAAAATCAGGAAGAGACTGTTCAGTCTCTTGAGCATGTTGCTGTATTTGGTGTTCACCTTTACCATAACTGATCAATAACTTAACTGCATCGAGGTTTGCAGCATGTCTTATTTAGCAAGTGGACCCAGTGTTGTACTAATCCATTCCTATCCTTCTTTGGGGGTTCATTTCCTTATATAGTTCCGTTAACTGTTGTTGGGACAGCATTTAGATAAACGCAGCATAATGCCCACTTGTTGGAAGGTATTGCTCTTCTTGTGATGCTTAGTTAGATAATGTTAACCAAGCACAGCTATTTGGAAGCAAGGTGAACCCCTTAAAGCATTCAAACTATAGTTTCCCATCCAGACTGCAATCTATACTAGCCAATTAATTCATGGTGGGAGAACTAGCCGTCACATATCCTATGACAGAATGCAATTCCCGACTAAAATTTAGTCAGAGCCAAACGCCCTCCTATTTTCACCATCTAACTTGTGGCTTCTTTAAAACAAAATCCTTCTTGGGAAATGAGTGTCCTTGATACTAGTCATGTCTAATTGGTCCCAAGAAGGTCTTAAAGGAAACTTTTCAACTGTATCCCAGACTTATGGTAGACATTTTTGTACTTCAGGACAGTTTTGAACCCTAGCATACATCTCATCCAGAACCAGAATGTTACTCAGGCTAATGAGTAGGAAGGCTGACTGAGATCAGTTTGGAAGTTTCCGTACCCCGGGGATGATGTTACTTTCGTCTAAGTATGACATTAACAATATGATGTAGTCTTATGTTGTAGCCGCCTCATTCATTTTCCACTTTACATAAACTTGAATGCTTTAGTTTCTTCTGAAGTGGATAGTTTTTAATTTTCTTTCCTTATTAGTATTGGAATGATGCTTGACAAGCTTAACCAAGCAATGTTGTCCACATTCAAAGCAAACTGAGAATTATCAATGTTGGTCCTTAAGACCTCCTAAAATGTAACTCTTAAAGTTAGGTTTCCTGTCTAGGCAGTGGTCATACCTAAAATCAGAACATTAAAAATAAGGAAAAAATGGATGGAAGGAAAGGAAATCTTTTATTTTGGTACTGGGAGATCCTTTCTACGTGTTAATTATCTTGGTATTATATTGAGAAGTATTTCATGCAAGTAACAGGTTTAACAATCGGGATGAAATTATACCAATGCTCTTCCCAGCTGTCAACTCCAAATGAAAACAGAAACTGACTTTTGTATCTAAATCTAATATGGATATGCAGCTCATCACCAAAGCCATTCAGAGAGAACATAGAATCATAAAGTCATAGAGTCATACAGCATGGAAACAGACCCTACGGTCCAAACAGTCCATGCTGAACATAATCCCAAACTAATCTAGTCCCACCTGCCTGCTCCTGGTCTATATCCCTCCAAACCTTATCCAAATGTCTTTTAAATGTTGTAATTGTGCCCACATCCACCAGTTCCTCTGGAAATTCATTCCACATGCGAACCATCCTCTGGGAAAAAAAAATTGCCCATCATATCTTTTTAAAATCTCTCTCCACTCACCTTAAAAATATGCTCCCTCGTCTTGAAATCCCCCATCCTGGGGAAAAGACACTGACCATTAACCCTACCTATACCCCTCATGATTTTATAAACTTCTATAAGGTCACCTATCAACATCCTACAGTCCAGCAACAAAGGTCCCAACCTATCCAGCCTTTATTTAGTACTCAAACTTTCCATACCCAGCAACATCCTGGTAAACCTCTTCAGCACTCTCTCCAGGTTAATAATATCTTTCCCAACAGCCACAGAAGCAAAAGCTTGATATTCTGTTTATAAATGTGATTATATCAGCGAAATTCCTATCAGCGTGACATACAGGTTTACAAAAGTGAAAATAAGTCTAGGGTCAAAGCAAGCTACAGCCATAGCTGTTGGGCGCATTGATGAAGGCCAGGGAAACCCTTGCTGTCATGATATTTGAATCAGGTGCATTGCTCTTGGCCAGATCTTGCAATGCTCCTCAAATGCTTTATAATTCCCGGTTACATTACTTTAAAAAATAATTCTGTCTTGTCTCCTAAAAGTTCTAACCTCACTCACATGACTTATACAGATTGAGAAATTTATGATTGTACCATGATGCCAATGATCACAACTTGCACAAAATCTAGAGCCTAGAACCAGCTTTCCAATTGCTAAGACAATGCTATTAAGACTTAGTAGCAATAATAACCCTGGTCCATTGAACTAGTAGCCTACTCTCATTTGCTTATACTGTATAATCAGAGTCAAAGAGACTATCTTTCTATAAATGGTTATTCCAACAGAGCAATCTTATAAGGTTACTACTAAATTTAGTATAGGTCATTAAGTTGCATCTTGTAACCTTTTAAAGGACTCAAACGTCTCTTTCTCTCCTTTAGGCAATCTCTGGACACAGCCAGCTGCTACGTATTACATTATGCTGGCTTAATTCCAGCATAATCCAAAGTGTTCCCATCCTTGCTGAATTTCAGGTCAAAAAGCTGAATGAAAAGATAAATAAAGATAATACAGGAGTTTAACTGACAACCTTACGTTACATCACCTCCAGTAATTAGATTTAAATAGTCATTTTAGGTAATATGAGTATTTACAGACACATTAGATTTCATTGCCCAGCCCTGGTTGCACATGACAAGATAATGTTCTTTGGCTGAGTGCATTTCCACAGTGTTGTTATGTAGGTGATTTCTGCTCATTTACCTACCAACAATGAAGGACCAATGTTATATGTCTAAATTAGAATGGCATGATTTGGATGTGATACTGTGTCCATGTAATTGTTGTTGCTGTCCTTCTGGCTGGTAAAAGTTACAGGTTTAGGAGACAATATGAGTGTCTACAGTGTACGCAGTAGAGGGTATTATAGCAACATTCATCCAAACAAGTGGAAAATATACCATATCACTCTTCTTTTCTATGTAGTGGAAAGGCTTTGCGGAGTCAGGACTTGAGTCACTTGCTGCAGCAAGAGCCATGGCATCCATGAAACTGATTGAGTTGTGTCTGTTGTCATTAGTAACTCTACTGTGTTCACCCATGCAAAAGAATGACCCCATTCGTTCTTTAGTCAATTTAGTTAGTGGTAAGTATTTGATCCCCTACTACCTCCTTTTAACATTGCTGCTTGTGGGCAATAGGTTATCAAAATACACCACATTAACCCAGTGCTCTTCTTCCCTCCCAGTCTTGTAGTACCTTTTTGAGGTGCACTGTGCTGTAACAATTTTGTCTAACTGCTCGAAAATGAATGGACTGAGTCTCCAATTTATGCACAATGTAAAGTGCACAAGAAAGAGGAAATTCCAATCATGTTTAACATCAAGAACAGCAAGTGGTCATCATTAAGGAAGAGTATAAAAGGCAGTGAATGCGTTGAATAATTGAATTATAGAAACAGCAGGACATCTTACAGTTCTTCATTCAGTTAGGTCATTGCTAATCTGCACCTCAACTTCTCAGATACTGAAGCAGTCTGTGTCCATATGCAGCAACACCTGGACAACAGTCAGACTTCAGCTGACAAGTGGCAAATAACATTTACACCACAAATGTGCCCAATTACCATCTCCAACAAGAGGGAATCTAACCATATCTTCTTGATTTTTAATGGCATAACCATCACTGAATTCACCAGTATCAACATCAAAGGGTTACCACTGACCAGAAGCTGAGCTTGAGTAGCCACGTAAGCTCTGGGTCTGTGAGAGCAAGTCAGAAGCTAGGAACTCTGCAGTGATTAATTCACATTTTATCTTCCCAAAACTCCCTTTATTATCTACAAGTCAGGAGTATGATGGGATACTCTACTTTGGCCTGGATGAGCGCAGCTCCAACAAGAAGCTTGACACCATCTAAGACAAAGAAACCAGAGAGTCACCACATCTACCACTGTCACCATCAATACACACTGGCAGCAAAGGGTACCATCTTCAAAATGCACTTCATGATCTCACCAGCAGCACTTTCCAAATTCATGACCTCTACCACACAGAAGAACGAGGGCAGCAAATACATGGCAACACCACATGCAAAGTCCCCTTCAAACAGTACCACCCAGACTTGCAACAGTTCCATGTGAATGGGTCAAAATCCACGATTTTCTTTCCAACCAGCACTCTGAGGGGTGCCTACGATCTCAAGCTTGAAACCTCACCTTAAAGCGCGTAACAGGTTATTTGGGAAAACAACGAATTCGAAGAAAAGAATTACTGCCAGAAGAGAAATGAGGTGAATAAATGATATCAGAACATTTGAGTATTTTCGTTTCAACCTCTCATGTTTACCTCATTTCGGGTCTCCAATGCTAAATAAACAAAGCAAAATAATTATACCACATATCCGCTTCTTTGAACTCGGATTTCAAGACGGTGGCCGAATTGAAACGGGTTGGAAAAGTTCTGTCTTGAAGCAAAGTTATGGTTGGAGTAACTGGCAGGTGGAGGCATCTCAAGCCGGCACTGAAACCCAATGTAGATCGAGCAGTGGGGTAGCTCAGCTTCATCCTCGCTCAATTTACACCAGTTAGAACGCACATTCACAGAAACGATCTGTAATTCACGACTGACGTAGAACTTTGCAAAGCTTGCCACTTCTCGGCACTGATTTCAAATAGACAGAACATGTTAGAGATGTGCAATGACTTAGCTAGCTACAGGAGAATGATGTTCTCTGCAGAGTGAAATACAATGCAAATAGCCTCAAAAGGCAGAAAGAAAGGTGCGCATTAAAGAGTTCCTATGCCACTTTTATTCCCACCCTCACTCGGCTGATTTTGATGTACACCGGTTGAAACGAACGTTTCTTACCTCGCCTTTTTTTTTGGACAACCTATACTCCTGACTTCAGCGGTGGCGACAGTATGGATGCCACTTGGTCTGTAAATTTACTTCGGTAATCTAGCCGACGTCGGCTTTCTCCAACAGCAAATCAGATCGCGGTAAGATAGGAAGGGGGGGGGGGGGGGGGGGGGGAGAAGAATTCCGCTGATAGCGCAAAAAATGTTCAGGAAGTAACAGGTGAAACAGAAAACATCCGGATCATCCAATGGGGACGGCGGGGGGTTTAGGGGATTTTAACTTATTCTTCAGAAACTGACCAGATCAGGTGGAATGCCGATTTTACACACCACCGGTTCCATTCTATTGGTATAAATGGAGAGGAATATTGGGCGAGACTTCCAACTCGAGTCTCGCCTGATTGTGCGGGTTCCTCGCCCATCGGCGAGTTGGGTCAAAATTGCTCCTGAGTATCGCGTTGAACAGCTCAATCAAGTTTCGCTAGTCTGTAGGTCTATATCGATGACATCTTTGTGACTGTGAGATGCAGAATATTTGAAATTGGTTAACCTTTTGCAAACCACATGTAGCTCAATTGGAATGCTTAACTGTCATGTAAAACTTTAAAACCAGAACTCCCAGAATATTGGACAAGAGAATTTTTTTTTTTAAAGTCTCGTTTAAAATTCTATAGTTAAACGAACGCACGGTGTTTGTTTAAAGTGCCCTGTTTTTATGATTGAGGTGAATAGGTCAAAAGCTGAATGGTTCCAATTAGATACGGGCCAGATATGGGTGGCAGTAGGTACCACCGAGGGGAGGTAAGTGATTGGCATAGACGAGAGATCTTATGATGGAAGAGAAGTCATGAGATATTTTTAACTGCTTGAAGGGGTTCTTCCCAAAATAGGGAAATCAGTCTTGTTTGGAGACTCCTCCTGTCAGAGGTTTAAATTAGCCAGGAGAGAGTGTGGAGTTTGAAGACATCAGCAAGTTGAGATAGCTTGGCTGTACTCTTCGGTTCACTCGATACACTGTCACAGTGAGTGGTTCAAATACCTGACTGCATTCATTAAACAGAAACAACCAAACACCACAATGCAAATAATCATTTCACCGCGCATTCTACTTTCCCCTCTAATACAAATAAAGGCGATTGTCAATAGTTTTTAGTAGGAGTTATGCACGCGCCTCGTCATCTAAACTCGGCGACAGTTTGTTCGGAATTATTCCCAGGAGTTTGAGAGCGCCGGGTGACTCTGCACACGCTCCGTTGAAACATATACGTGTGTAACGTGTGTCCGCGTTTCTCCTCGTGCTTTTCTGCTAACATTTCCAAATCTGCCAGCCCATTAAAGGTCGAGAAGGCGGAAAACTCGGAGCTCCCTGATGAGCGACGGCCTTAATCCAGAAACTTTAGCCACAGGAATGTGCCTCGTAAGTGAAGAAGACCCCCTTTCACTCTATTTATAACGCGAATCTTCCGCTTTTTATCCGTTTCGTTCCCTCTTGCACGTATTAGAGGTCGGCGAGAGCTCTTGAAGAACCGTGCTCACAATTCACAGGGAAATTCACAGAGAGAAACAAACAAAAACGGGAAGCGATCTCTTATTATGTAACATCATTTTGCTTGTTTATTTTTGTGTGTTGCCATTAAGGCGTCGACAGTAGCAAAGTTGATTCGCGAGCTGTACTAATCTGAAGATTTTGTTTACTCTGGTGGCACCTGGCGTTTTCACCCTATAGCTGTCAAATGATGTTAGCAAAAGCATATCCTTAAAATAAATTTCCCTTTTTATACCAGATAGCTACATCTCTGAATTTTTAATGTATTTTTAAAGAAAAAGTTGAAATGCACATTGTGCATTTTCTTCCCTTTGCAAGCATCTTATATCATGACTATGCACAATTGCAAGGTATTGTTTTTCCACCTCAAAAAACAAAACCCCATAGCAATATCCAGGCTACTTTGTTGAATTTTCGCCGTGAGTCCCTGCTGCTGCCGCATTTGCTGTTTCTCCGGAACTCGGTTGCAGGTAATATGGTTTGGTTGCTGAAGACGCGCGACACCAAGTACTGTGTACCGTTACTTTTTGTTTTGCTTCGTTTGGTTATAATGTACTTTCCACCTTTATTTTAAAGTAGCTGTTGAACTTTAAAAAAGAAATTGGACATCTCGAATTGTGCACGGAGACACTGTTCGCCGATTTAAATATATATATATCTTACTCTATCTTATTATATGCACTACAGGAGCGAAGCGGGATGATATCAGCATGACGCTGGAATTAATGAAACAACACATTGGAAACATGAATTTAATGTGTATGCTTACCATTGTCCTGGCTTATTAGGGCGCCACAGAAACTCAGGTTAAATAGAAACGCCTCTCCTCCACAACTCCTACTAGAAAGCTAATCTTTTTTCTCCTCAGCTTTTAACTTGCCCTCTTTCTTTAATTGGCCGAATATCCAGTGAGATTTCAGCATCTCTGACCTTGCTTGTAGAAAAGCCAATAGTGAGATTGCGAGGTGGGCACGTGTCCTCTTTTTACAACCGGACGAGGGTGGGCTCTGTCCGAAATAAGCTATATAAAGGGACTGATCGAGGTCACCTCAGGTATGCGAAAGATCCAGTTTGTCCATTAATTACCCGTCAACATTTAACTACAAGACATTTAATGATAATAGCCATTCACGGGGCCGCGTGGAGCACTGTACTCATCATAAAATGACTCAGTATCTTCTTGGTCATGTGCAAAGATCGACTCCACTTCGGGCCCCGAGATAGTGTCCCGTATCAATCGCTGGTGTTTGAACCAGATACCTCAATGATAGGCTTTTCTTCCCGTAATTAAATCCTGGAAGTAGCAGTCTTTGAAAGGGCAAATCAACACTTCCGATCTTTTTATTCCAATAACAATTTTGATAGCTGGAAAGAGTCCTTTTCTAGGGACCATTCCAGGTTTAACCTTTACTTTTCTGCTGGGTCGTTCATACCCATTCAGCGGTCGTCTATGGCTGCGTTTATCAGTTGAAGGAATTTTAATAGCAGTCCCTGCGATTACGTAAAGTCAAAATGCTGTGGCTACTGGAAGCCCGAAACTGCTGGGAACTCTGAGCGGCTCGGGCGAAATGTTTGGACAATCGGACTGAGTTTCAGGTCCTGCTGTCACGAATCGGCATGTTTAACAAATCAAATCAATCGTCAGATTCAAAACGGGCCGAACAGTATCCAAATGCAAACGAAGCCCAGTTCTTCCTCAGCATGGAATTCAGGGTGAGTAAGCGTGATTGGAACAAGCCCAATCCTATGAAAATGCCTCGTCGGAGCTGGAAAAGCACCTTAATGGCGAAGGTTAAATAATCATTTGCTACATTGCTGTATTTGCCTTCAACGAATAAACATAGCATTTGCATTGATACAGCACATTGCTTGACTTCGCAAAATACATTGATGCACTGTACTTTGGAAGCACAGTTAGTGTTGTAATTTGGGACAGTCTGGCCATCAGCTTGTAGAAATCCCACAAACAAGAAGATAGTGATATTGATGGTGGAATAAGGCTACTGGAACAAATCACAAACAAAAACAGAAATTTCTGGAAAAGCTTAGCAGATCTGGCAGCATCTGTGAAGAGAAATCAGAGTTAACATTTCAGGTCCTTTCCCAGAAAGGTCATCAGACCTGAAACATTAACTCTGATTTCTCTTCACAGATGCTGCCAGACCTGTTGAGCATTTGTAGCAATTTCACTTTTCGTTTCTGATTTACGGAATCCGCAGTTTTTTCGGTTTTTATTTACTGGAGCTAATTCCCCTGCTCTTCACAACAGAGTCAGAAGTCACACGACACCAGGTTGAAATCACAAGCTTTCAGAGCATAGCTCCTTCATCAGGTGATGTGAGAGAGAAGCACACAGTCACAGAATTTATAGGCAAAGAGATCAAGGGCGGAGAGATCAAATAATCATACAAATGGTGTGAGTGGAGTGTTGAGTAATAAGTCTCTGCAGATGATCAAAAGTGTCAGATGGTCTGAGTAATGTGTCAACAGCTGAATAATAAGTGAAGGGATGACCTATAATCCAATTAAATGAGGCAGAGATATAATTACAAAAAATTAAAAATCAGGTGGTGCTGGAGACAAACCAAATGACTGGAATAACATGATAAGTATAAGAGTCGCATGCCGAGGGTGTAATCAAATTAATAAGTAATCCAAAACTGTACAGAATAATTAAGGTAGAGAGATCATAACAATTTATCAAGGTGATGGTGTCAAAAGAGCAATAGGTTCACCAGACCCAAATGTTAGCTCTGCTTTCTCTTCACAGATGCTGCCAGACCTGCTGAGCTTTTCCAGAAACTTCTGTTTTTGTTTCCAATAAGGTCTTATACATTCAGTAGAGGTGGCAGCCAGAGTCTCAGTGTAGAATCTCATCTGAAAGAAAGCAACCCCTCACCTCCTCCCAAACATTGCTTTGGAGTATCAGATTGATTTTGTTTTATATTAAGGAGTTGAAATGAGATCTGAACCTAGAACCTTTGATGCAAAGGTGAATGTGCTACAAACTGAACCTGAACTAACAACAAAGCAATGAGGCTTTCCACAGAATAGTACTGAAAATTCAAACTGTCAGACATGTCGGGTGGAATGTAATTTTTTGTTTGTGTGTGGAGGAAAGGCGGGGAGGGTGGTTGGGGAAATAGCAGTGGTGGTGTTTAAGGATAGCATGCCCATCATATAATTGGTAAAAATGTTGCTTGTATTTATGTTTTACAAATTATCATTTTATGTTTCAGAACCAAGCCAAAGTCTTTCTTTATATTGAACACATTTTTCTTACAAGATATCAACTCAATTTTTAAAATTTCAATAGTTTATTTCGTTTCAATCAGCAGTTCATGTCACTTCACATACATGTCCATGCTTTTATTAACTGTTTAAAAGATCAGAAGAAATCTTAGATAATTATGTCATTTTTGCATTTTGTGCATTGACATTTTCAAATCCGAATGAAGAAATCACCAATAGTCTCTCAGATAGAAATGATCCTATTATGGGTGTATTTGTATATATTTGGTGCACCCTATCTTTTCTTCTATGAT